GGTATGTTAACTTTGGATCTTAGGCAAATTATACAGAAGTCATTGGCGAACTTTTTACATTCATGCACATATAAGACAAATATTCCTAACATTCGCGCAACATACAATGGGACACGGGTTATTCCCGCTGCCGGCGCCTTCCTTAAACCGCCTGTAAAACCCGTAAATCTTTGACATTGACCGCGAGTCCCCCTTACTGCTGCTATCATCCCACAAACACACACGACACCTTTTATATATCATACGCATACTATAAAGAGTTTTATCCACAAAGCACACCACAATTATAGTTCTATCTTCTACCTCACCATCCCTACCMTCATACAAGCGCACACAAACATACACGGCAGCTTTCACATATCCTACGTATACCTTTCACGAGTAAAGTTAAAAGATACTCCATGATCTTTAAGTTTTCTTGACAATTTGCTGGTCTGAAGACAATCTGGGGTTCAGGACAGTCCTCGTCGTCTGAATCCTGAGCGGCAGACGGTTCTGTCAAGACAATCCCAGCTCCCCTGAGGACCCTGGACAGGATTGAGGGATAGGGCTGTAGACACTCGGGAATTTTTGTAATGACGAAGGATAAATCAACCATTTGGACCACTTGTTCTTCTTCTGTCTGTAGAAATAAAGGGAGGGAACATCACTGAATTAGAACAAAAAGAAAAAAATCATTTCCGAAATGAATAGGCCCTTTGCAGTTCAGTAATCACGTGCTGATTAATTCACTGAGAGCAAATGAATGAACATTTTGATTCCCATAGGTGAAATTTTCTGGAGAGCAAACACACTTTCTACAACCTGTTTCGAGAGATCGTGATAAAACTCCACTTTGTACCACACTGGTCACACATCGTTTCATCCAGTTCTTTACAAGTAGCTAAAAAGAATTACCAATTTAAAATAATAAAAAATGTTGCTCTCCAGTACAGATACGTGACCGTTAACTGCAAAGAACCTATTGAAGTGGTTCGATTTTCTTCCTTGGGTTGAAAGCACAAGGATCACGGAGCATAGTTTTGAGTAGAGAGGGGAGGGAGGGGCGGGAGGCAATTTGGTGGCTTCGTGGAGTGCCCCCCACCCCCTCCCTCTCCCCAACTTTGAAACCGAAGCTCTCGAAAATGCAGTTTCCAGTTTTTTTAAAGGGGCAACACATTTATTGCATTAAAGTCACGTCAAAGCATTAGGAAACTCATAACAGCAAATCAGTTTGGCTAAAAAGACCCCCATCCGCCTGCACACTCCTTGCAAGGTCGTCCAAACCCGTCCGAATGAATAGAAAACTGTGTGAAAGTTAACAATAAGGAAAAGTTATCTTTTTATTCATTTCCTGACATCAAAAATTGTTGAAAATCTACGGTGACTTATGAAATATGGCGATCATATCGACGTCACAGAAACACAAAGAAAGGGAAAGAAATATATACGAGGCAGAAAAAATGGTCTCATATTTTACCTGGAATTTCCGAACGACTCCGAGGAGGAATCTCAAAGCTGTGCACCGTTCCTCGTTGTGGAGAGACGTGAAGAGTTGTTTTATCGCTGGCTGCCATATTTCCTTTGTTCTCATTCCCTTTAATCTGGATATCAGCCAGGAGGTGAACTCAAAATCAAGTTCTGCCAAAGGAAATTGAATTTAATAATACCAAAATCAACATCGTGGGTATAATTTTTGTTATGATGATGTTTCATGAACAAAAACAGTGCCATTACCATCACCACGCCCAACAACTTTACCGATATTGTCACCATCACCACTTTCTTCATCCCATCATTCATTACAACCCAACATTCATCACCAACACCACCATCACCAACATGCACCAGCATCACCAACACCACCATCACCAATATGCACCACCATCACCAACACCACCA